CTTGTCCAACACAGATCTCCCCCACTGGGCAATCTCTGTGCCTGAACCACACCCTCTTGGCTGAGATTTACTCAGAGCTGCACAGAGCTAAGGCCATTCCTACCCAATTCTCCTTCCTCCTCCTCAACCTGCACATGACTCAGAAGTTCTGCCCCCTACTCCTGCATCCTCTATTACTTACAGTCATCCACTATGATATCCCTTTCCCCAAAGATTTTATCATCTTTGTGGCTCTCCTAAGGATTTTCTTAAATATTTTTTTATTTCTCTTTGCTTTAGGAGAGGACACAATGTTATATAGTCTGACCAGAACTGAGCAGCAATGAAACTGGTTATGGTGCCATGTTCGTGTGATGGGCCATGAGCAAGACCTCTGGTCAAGTACTCAACAAATCAATTAAGCATATACTATACTCGGCTGCAAAATATTCATTTGTCAGTTCAACTGCCTTGTAATATATTCTTTGGTTGCTACTCCTATTCCCTTTCCTGGACAGGAGACATAGAATGCTATTTAATATGCCTATATTTCTGTCAATCCTACCTAGTCTTATAGGCACAGAGGTTGAAATTTTCATACTTTATTTCACTGGATTTCAGGCTCCAAAATTGTAATACATGCCATTTTTAATGTGACATTCAGAGAGTACATTTCATTCTTCTCTCATATGAAAGCATGATCCACGTAGAGTGGTGAGGCAGTTTTCCACGAGATTATTCAGGAACACAGATTCCTTCCGTCTCATGCCATTCTTAGTTCATGGGTACTCTTTTTTTTTTTTTTTTTCTTGATGGTTTCTATAAAGTGGATTGGGGAAGAGTAATGAGAGAAAGAAAGAAGATGCAGAGGATTTTTTACATTTTACTCTTTATACATGTATATTCTTAGACTCATTTAATGAAAATGTCCTATGGGAGTTTCAACTGGTACAATGTTATGGAGGGCAATTTAGCAATATCTTTAAAAATTCTAAGTGCATATATTCTTGAATCTACAAATTCCATGTAGTTTAAGTATTTGGGGGTTTTTTGGTTTGTTTTTGGTACCAGGGATCAAACTCAGGACCTTGCCCTTGCCAGGCAGGCACTGCACTGAGCTACATCCTCGGCCTTGGTTTAGGTATTTGTATTAGTCACTTTTCTGTCAGTGGGACAAAAAACACCCAACACTCACAACTGAAAGGAGGGGTTTTCTTGACTCACAGCTTCAGAGGGTTCAGTCTGTGGCTATCGGGCTCCAAAGCAGAAACAGCATAGTGGAAGGGCCTGGCAGAAGAAAGCTGCTCCAACCATAGCAGCCAGAAAGCAGGAAGAGAAAGAAGGGAGAAGCTAGGGACAAGACTACTTCCTTCTAGGTCATGCTCCCAGTGACCCACCTCCAACCAAGCCTCACCTCCTAACCGCACATTCAGCTCTGAACTTATTAATGGGTGAAGCCACTAATGAGTAGCACACTCATGGGTCAATCACCTTCCAAAAGCCCCACCTCTGAACATATGAGATGATGTGTTCAGATGTCCCATTTTAGATTTAAACCATAACAGCATTCATCTTGCATATGTGCTTAATAATTCCTAATAGCCCTCCCAGATAACCAAACCTATACTTACCTTACATCTTCCTAATCTCACATGTAGAAATTTAATTTCTATTTTTATTATTGTTGTTTTCTAATAGTTCAATGATATAATACTAAATTCAAGCTTATTGGAGCCCAGTGTTATGACAAGATATGCCCACTTCCTTTCCTTGCTACCAAATATTATCCATTTTTGATGTTTTGTTTGTTGTGGTGCTGGGATTAACTCCAGGGGCTCATGCATACTAAGTGCATACTATACCATTGAGCTATATCTCCAACTCCTTTATGTACTTTTAAATGAATTGATTTTTAAATTTATCATTTTCTAAGGGAAGAAGTCACATTTATTGGATATTTTGTACTAAATATTGTATTAAAGGACAATCAATATTTAATATGTTCCATAATTTGTTCTTCACGATTACCTTGGCAATAGTCTATTACTTAACAAGAGAGTAAAACATGGACAGACTAAAGCAACTTTCTCAAAGCAACCTTCAGTAAGTGGCAGGCAGAACCAGTATTCAGATCAATCTGACTCTGATATCATGGTTTGCCTACATCACAGTACCCACAGGAGCCACATACCACTAAAAGGAAATGAGTGAGTCCAGACATAGTGGCATATACCTATAATCCTGGCATTCTGGGAGGCTGAAGCAGGATTACAAGTTTGAGCACAGCCTGACAACTTGGTGACTTGGCAAGACTCTGTCTCAAATTTTTCAAAAATTGTAAAAAAGGGCTGGGAATGTAACTCAGTGTAAGGCCTTGGGTTCAATGTCTAGTACAGAAAAAAGTAAATAAAAGAAAGAAAGGAAGGAAAAGGAAGTGAGGTAAAGTGCTTGAAAAATATAAGGGAGAGTCAACAAAGTCAGTAATGAAAATTTAAAAAAAATTTTTTTTGACAGTACTGGACATTGAACTCAGTCCTCACACTTAGCTTCATCCTCAGCTTTTTTTTTTTTTAAACAGCATCTCACTAAGTCGCTAAATTGCCAAATCTGGGCTTGAATTTTGAATCTCCTGTCTCAACCTTCCAGAGTGCTGGATTACAGGCATCTACTACCGTATCCCACTAAGATAAATGATAGTTTAATGTAATTTTTTTTTTTTTTTTGCACCAGGGGTCAAACTCGGGACCCTGTGCTTACAAGGCAGGCGGCAGAACCACTGAGATAAATCCCTGGCCGATTTAATGTAATTTTTAAATTTTTTTATTTTAAATTTATTTTTGTTTTTTTGAGACAGGGTCTCGCTCGGTAGTGTAGGCTGGCCTCGTACTCATAGCAGTCCTAATCCCTCATTCTCCCAAGTGCTGGGATTACAGGTGTGCACCCACTCCACCTAGCTAAAAAATCAAAATTACACAAAGCAATCCATGACAAACAAAATTTCAAATAAAGATGTGATCATTATTACTAGCTTTCCTTTTGCTTCATGCTCTAATATAGTTTCCCAAGGCACTGTTACTGATCTGGAATTTAATTAAAATCATGAGTCACTGAATGAAGTATTGTTTTTTTGTGTTTTTTTAAATTTTTTGGTACCAGGGATCGAACTTGGGTCCTTGCGCTTGTGCAGCAGGCGGTGAAACCGCTGAGCTAAATCCCCAGCCCCTGAAGTATTGTTTTAAGAGACTTCATATGTTGGTGGAGTGTAGGGCAAACTATAAAGAGCGAGCCTAGAGAACTGTGAAGGTTGAAAATATTTTGCTTAGTGAAGACACTCTCCAGTGGTGGCAAACCTATATATAGCACATGTGTTATTGTGTTTTTCTTTTAAGATGAATGATGTTAATGTATGGGTTGTTTTTCCTAAATTAAAATCTCAGTATGCAGGTTTGGCACTTTGTAGTGTTGGCACTTTGTGACAAATAAGTGAGTTTTGGGTTGTAGTTTGGGCACTCAGTCTCCAAAAGATTTGCCATCACTGCACCTATACACTGCACTTACCATCTTCATATGTTATTAATTATCTCTATTTAAAACTGTGTATACATTCCAAAGTGCTAACAATGTACTTAAGAAACCTCGGAGTTTGTTTGTTTTTTCTTAGTACTAGGGATTGAACCCAGGGTCTTTGCACCAAGCTACACCTGCAGCCCTTTTGTTTTTGTTTTTTGAGACAGGGTGTCACTAAATCATGTTGCCCAGGCTGTGCTCAAACTTGCAGTCCTCCTGCCTCAGCCTCCCAGAGTGCTGAGATTATAGTTGTACCCCACTATGCCTGGCAGAACCTCAGTTTTAAATTAGCCTAATTCCCTTCAATGTACAGAGTTTAAGACACTGGGATTTAGTTAGGTCATTCAAGAAGCTGATGAGAAGATCTGTCCATTTCCCTTCCACTGCAAGCAGCTGCTTCCTGTCCATCCCTCTCTGCTCCTGAGACAGAGTACTGGCACAGGCTCTTCTTAGGAGTAAAGAAATGGAAGGAACAGCCACCTTGTGCTTGGGCTTGCAGGGTTTGGCCTTTTCCTTTTTCTTAGAGAAGTTCGTCAGACTCCCAAAGAACACACAGGAATTGGTAGTTCTTACATGAAGAGGTAAAACCATGATTCTAGCCATAGTTCTAGACAATGTCGTTTCATTTTCAATATCCTTTTCTGTTGACATTGTTTTTTGCCAACCTTTTATAGAAAGTGTATGTTGGTCCACATCCTTGGGGAGTGGTTTCCAGGTACCCTGAGCTTCTTCTCCTTGACCATGATGAATTTAATCTAAGGGTCAATGTTAGAATGTGATTTTACAAAGACTTTCCAGAAACTATGTTCAATCTGAATATCTTGAGATTGTATGATACAAGAATGTATAGAATAAGTATCAAATATTTCACATTTCTTGGAGGCAAGTCAAAGAGGAAAAAGTCGAAATAAGATTGTTGCATTTACCACTATGTTAAAAGGGGAGGTGATGAGAACAGAAGGTCAAGAAAAAGGTAAACGATTTATACCTAGTGGGCTTCAATGTCTAGTGGGCTCAGGTTAATAATATAAATTAATGAAATTGATTAGTCCAACTTTAAGATGTAGGAATGATGGTGAACTCTACAAGATACACTTAAAGAGAGCCAGCCAACAGCCAGCAAATTATTACCATGGGGGAAGGTAGATCCAGGATTGCCAGATCTGCCAATTTTCCAAAAGAACCAGAAATCAGGATCTTTGTATAAAAGTATCTGATTTTTAAATGCAGACAACTAATCCAAATTGGAAGAGGGAAGGAAGGGCCAGAAAGGAAAGGAGGGAGTAGACAATGGGAAGGAAGAGAGATTAAAAAGAAAGAACCCTGTGCAGCCCAACAGCTGCCTGTTTGTGACTCTTACCTTATGCAGTCTTCTTAATTTCCCAACAATTCAAGATGTGTTTAAGAACTTAATTCAAAGTGCATTTGGAAGTAGCTAAAAAATGCAGGTGGAATTTCCATTGCCTTGCCAGTTCTTTAAATCTAGCCATAGTTTTTATTGAGCACTTAACAAGTGAAGGTTGGTCATCACACCACATTAAAAGTGAGATACATTAATTATGTTAAAAAGATAATGGTCAAAATGACTGATACACATATTTTAGTCGTTTTTAAAAGGATGGTTAAATATAGAGACTTGTTTGTTTACAAAAAATTAAAAAAGACCTAGTAGAGTACCCAACTTGTACAATTCACTTCTGAACTTGCATGGTTAATGGGAGGTTCCGAAGATTAGGCATCGCTCTGTTTTTTAAAAAACAGAATTGAAAGGCAAGCCTCCTGAAAATCTTTTCTTTTTTTTTTTGGTACCGGGGATGGAACTCGGGTCCTTGCGCTCGCGCAGCAGGCGGCAAAACCACTGAGCTAAATCCCCGGCACCTGAAAATCTTTTCTTGAAGACAGTTTTGACCCATGAGGTCATAGAAAATTGTGTTCCCACAGAAGTCATCTGTGACACCAAGCCACCCTGAAGTTCATACCATTTCAGAAGGGGGTGGCTCTGTCATCATGTCAGCAGAATAAGTAAGACATTGAACAATTCAACCTGGCTCAGGTTATCTAATACTCACGATTACATTTTAATATAATGTGTTAATATACACTGTATCCCGCTTCCCACGAGATTCCCATTGCTTTAGACACTCTACTTCCCTCTTCTTCTCAGCCTCTGTACCAATCTAGTTTCTGCAAATTTAGTGTAAGCCTATTTTTGTTCCTACTATTTCTTCTGCTCTTAGAGATGCTTCAAAAAATTTAACTTCTGCCTCAGAGATAACCACCCCACACCCCACACCCCCGCCCATTCTAGAATCTAGACTCCTCCCTGCCCTGTGCAGGTGGCCCTCGGTCTAAGATACCTTTAGCTTCCCCGCTCCATCCCTACCCAGACAGCAGCCCCTCAACCGTTCCAGAAATTGAGGAAGAAGTTGCAGACGGAGTGCCACTTCTCGTCGCAGTAGGTTTCCGTCAGCTCCGCGTTGTCGTTCTCGTCCAGCCCGTCGGGATTGGGCCCGGTCCTCACGGGTCTCTCCTCCCCCGGGTCCGAGGCCGTCTTCCTCTTGCCCCCTTTGGTCTTTTTCTCAGAGGTCTTCTCTTTGGGCCGCGAGCTCAGGGACCGCCCCGGGCTCCTGGCCCTAACCCTGAGCGCCCCAGAAAAATCGTGGGCGGCGGGGCGCTGGGACGGGGCCGCGTGGGGCACGAGACTCAGCTCGGCGCCGCGGCCCTTCTTGCCGGCGCACAGGCGCGCCCGGAGCGGCGCGGGGTCGAGGCAAGGCCGCCGCCGCCTGCGCAGCGCGCCTAGCACCTGCTTCCAGTAGTGCGCGCGGCGGGGCCCGTAGGCGGCGCAGCGCTCGGGCTCCCCGCGGAAGGCGCACTCTTGGCGCGCCCCGTCCGGACCCCGGCAGCGCAGCCCCACTTCGCCGCCCGCTGCGGCCCCCGGGGCGGGCAGCCGGAGCTGCCAGCTGCACGCGTGCTGCTCCGGACTCACGAATCGCCCCGAGGAGCCGCTCCCGGGGCCCGGAGCCGCGTCCTTGTTCCCTGCGGCAGCCAAGAGCAGGCAGCCGCCCAACAGCAGCAGAAGCGAGAGTGACGCTCGCAGCCCCGGAGGACTCATGGCCCGCAGTGTCGGCGCTCCACTCCTCTGGGGTCCCTGAGTGCTTCTAGTGGACGCAGGTCGAGGCGAGGTCCATCCCTAATCTGCGGGCGCAAGCAGAGAGCTACCGACCGAGCCTCCCACTGCTCGGCACAGACACCTGTGAACTCCCCGAGCCAGACTTTCCGGAATCTGGTTTATTTCGCCAGTGGGCAGAAGCAGGCCGTGAGGGGCCCCTCAGAAGAGCTTTCCTAGGAGAAACAGCTTACCGCTTAATCATTTTGAAGTCATTTGTGCATTGAGATTTTTCTTCCCCATGCAAATACGATAGCAAAATGATGCCTGATAATTGCAACCTTCGCCCCCTCCATTCTCCACCCTCCAATAAACTATCAACAAAATCACTTCGTATTAATCTTTAAAAACTTGCACTTTTTGCTGCTTTTTGAACTTACCGAGTTCTTGGAGAGGTGGCGGAGCCTTATGAGGGTAGAGGGAGTGATTGCATAAGACATGAGTCTGTTTTAGCTGATTCCCTGCGAATGAATGCGTTATCAATGGGACCGAAGGGGCCTCCCTCACTATGCCACTCCCAGCCTTCTCTCACACTGGACTTCCCACCACCACCACCACCACCACCACCACACACATACACAC